TAAAATACAAATGGATAAGTCCGAGTTTCTTAAATTAGAAACCGCTTATTTAGGCCATATAATTAGTAAAGATGGCATTAAGCCAAATCCTAGCAAAATATCCGCAATAGAAAAGTATCCACTACCCAAAACCGCAAAAGAAATCAAACAATTTTTAGGCCTTATAGGTTATTATCGGAAGTTCATCCCAGACTTTGCTCGAATTACTAAACCTCTGACGCAATGTCTAAAGAAAGGACGAAAAATAACTCTTGACGCAGACTATATTAACTGCTTCGAAAAATGCAAGACTCTCTTGACCAACGACCCAATCCTCCAATATCCTGACTTCAATAAAGAATTTATCTTAACAACTGACGCATCCAACGTAGCGATAGGAGCCATCCTATCTCAGGGACCCATAGGATCAGACAAACCTGTATGTTACGCTTCTAGAACTCTAAATGAGAGCGAAGTAAACTACAGCACTATAGAGAAAGAGCTACTTGCCATTGTGTGGGCAACCAAGTACTTTAGACCCTATCTATTTGGCCGTACTTTTAAAATCTTAACTGATCATAAACCCCTTCAGTGGGTAATGAATCTTAAGGAACCAAACTCGCGACTTACTAGGTGGAGATTAAAATTAAGCGAATACGATTTTTCTGTCATATACAAAAAAGGAAAAAATAACACCAATGCCGATGCTCTTTCCCGGGTAGAAATATATAACGAAGAATCTTGTTCTATGTTAGCTAACCCATCAGAAAAAACAGCCCCTAGTGGCGGCTCGACTACTCAAACAGCCCACACAAGCCATGAAAATCCGATTCTCGAAATCCCCATCACCGACGAACCTATTAATAAATTCCACAGACAGCTAATATTAACAATTGTAGGCGACATTAAAAGACGACCAATAGTGACTAAACCTTTTGATACACATACTCGAACAGTTGTACAGATAAGACAACCGGAAATGGAAGTAGACCTAGTCAACGCCATAAAAGAATACGTTAACCCAAAAGTCAAAACCGGATTACTAATTAACCCCCCTCTTTGCATGTATGACGTCATTCCAATCCTACAAGATAAATTCAGAAGCTCGTCTATGAATCTTGTCTTAACTAAAGTTGAAGTAGAAAATGTAAGAGAATATCTGCAACAACAAGAAATAATAAAGAACTACCACGAGGGAAAAACCAACCATCGCGGTATTAATGAGAGTTTTCTGGCCCTTTCCAAACGATATTATTGGCCTAAAATGAGAGAACACATCACGAAATACATTAATGAGTGCACCATATGCGGTCAGGCTAAATACGATAGGAAACCTATAAAACCACAATTCAATATCGTTCCCCCCGCTACCAAACCTTTCGAGATCATCCATATAGACATGTTCACGGTACATAATGAAAAATATCTCACATTTATAGATGTATTCTCCAAATATGCTCAAGCATATCATTTAAGAGACGGAACAGCACTGAGTATTTTGCAAAGCTTACTTACCTTCTGTACGCATCATGGTCTTCCCCTTACTATTGTCACCGACAATGGGACAGAATTTACGAACCAGCTATTTAGTGAGTTCGTACAACTCCACAAAATTAACCATCATAAAACATTAGCTCACTGTCCTAATGATAACGGTAACGTAGAGCGTTTCCATTCGACTATACTGGAACATCTGCGAATCCTTAAACTACAAAAGAAAGATGAGCACGTAGTAAACCTAATGCCTTATGCTATCTTGGGATATAACAGTTCTGTACACAGTTTCACTAAATGCAGGCCCTATGATATTATCAACGGACATTTTAACCCTAGAGACCCAATCGACATTGACTTGACGAAACATCTACTACAACAATATATACTTACACACCGAGATCAAATGAAAATAGTGTACGAGATAATTAACGAGCGTTCTTTATCCGAACGTTCGGCACTAATAAATAATCGGAATAAATCACGGGAACCAGAAGTTGAATACCAACCAAACCAACAAGTTTTCATTTCAAACCCCCCTAGCTAGCCGCCAAAAATTGGCCCCACGTTACACCCATGACCACGTTCTAGCTGACTTACCAATACACATTTATACGTCTAGGAAACGCGGCCCGATAGGAAAGTCTAGACTTAAACGTGTACCTAAAAATGTCGAATTGTTACAGGACTCTAAAATTACTGACCGTACTGACCATGCCGACGATCGAAGCCCAGGAGATAAAACTTGAATGTCTTGAAGACGGACCAGGCTTACTACCATTTAGACTTGGACCAACGACTCTTATAACTCACTATCACACATTTCTTCAGTATGTTAAACTTGACGACATCAGAGACAAAGTAACCCTATTACAGGAACAGCTACAAAACTACCAGAACCGACTTGATAATGACACCAACTTACTGTACGAATTGCAAATGGACTATCTTTATAGTAAATTAGATAAAGTTTTAATACAACTAAATAGCTTAGAGCCCAGTCGCACTAAGAGAGGTCTAGTAGACGGCTTAGGCTCGGTAATCAAAAGCGTAACCGGTAATCTAGATTATTTAGATGCCGCGAAATATAATAATGCCATTAAAGTTTTAAAGGATAACCAAGATAGGATCGAATCGGAATTCAATAGTCACATTAGCATTAGTAAGGAGTGGATGTTTCAACACAATAGTGTAATATCCCAGATAATTGAAAATCAAAACAAAATTAACTCAACACTTATCCAGTTATTAGATAGAGCCGCTTATAGAGATAGTAGCCTCATCAAATATGCTAAGTTTGCCCAACTCCTAACAATTTTAACCGAAAATATCGATGATGTGCTCAATGAGCTTAATAGGATAGAAAATATATTAGCATTTAGTCGTGCATCGAGCACCCACCATTCTACCTTAAGTGTTAAAATAATTAAGTCCATGTTAGTAAGATTAAGGCAAATTTATGATAAGGAACATGTATTAAATTTAGAGACTAGAGAATATTACGATATCATTAAGTCAGGTTATTATTTCACGGAGAATCAAATAGTAATTGTTCTGAAATTCCCCGTTATTTCCAAAGACACCTTCGACCTATTCCGCTTATCCATTGTACCTAACAAAAACCACCAATCTATTATTCCACCCTATCCTCTAATAGCAACCAATAGAGAAAAATTCGTGTACATGGAGACAGAATGTCCGAAGTTGAGTAATCGGTACCTATGCGAAAAGGAAACAAACACCCAAATTCGAACACAATCCGACTGTATCCAGAACCTCATCATCAATCAGTCTATAGCAAAATCCTGTAAGATAACCGACATCGCACTATCAAAAGAAGCCATGGAACGTCTTGACGACAAGCACTATACCATCTCCTTCCCTCAACCAACTAAGATCCACACAGTATGCGGGCGCGAAGACATTACTACATTACAGGGCAGCTACTTAGCCACAATACCAATCAATTGCTTCCTGCGAACACAAGAATTCACCATCACTAATATCAATGATCAAGTAGAAGGCCATCCCCTGAAACTAATGAAAATACCAATGGATATAAGCGCAAAAGATACCCCAGCAGTACCACGAATCAGCCTTAATACAATCAACCTGAAAGGACTCCACGCAGCCCAGGACCAACTCATGATGCAACCACCACTTCATCTGCGAGAGATGCACCCCCTAACCTTATATCATACTACTATTCCCTTTTACGCCGTGTTATCAAGCCTAGTAGTATTCGCTATCATAATCTCAGTTCGTTACTACTACAAGACTAGGAAGCAAGAACAGACCCAGGATAACACCCAACATAGCTATGAAAACCCCGAAGGAACAAAAGTCGAAAAGACATTACCAGCAACTTTTTCTCTCAAAGTTCTAAAATAGTTGCTGATCTGAGGGTGGAGGAGTTATAGCATAGCCTCATAGGTAAAGAGCCTACACAGCAGCGACCCCGATACATTGCAGCGGCACGAGGCGCAACTCAGCAGAACGTGAGCATTGACGTCAACGGATGCAATCGGAGCTCTGCAATATTACTTTACTTTATTTTAATGTAATAATTAAAAATCATTCTAGATCTAGCATCGATCTGATTCACTTCTTTTTTAATTATAATTTTTATATTGTAATTTTTATATTGTAATAAAGTATTTTATATTAGTTTCGGTTTTTTTTGGGTCCTTCGGCTGCAGTTAACGTAATTAGGTACACCAACACCAAAACACGTGACACATTAACAACACAATAACAAATGTATATGGTTAAATATGTTTGCCAATTACAGGTATACACAACATTTACCGTAATGTGTAGCTTATTATATTATAATGGTACTGAATATAAAATAACTTATATTAAGAAAAAAACTAAGTAAGGAATAAGTGTGTGCTGAGAGGGTGAAAAGAAATTAATTCTTTTTTTTTTAGAAGCATCGGGCAGAGTCGTTGAAAATGTCGATGTCCGGTATCTTGGTCATAATTTCATTGTATGTGTTACATATTCTGGCTAGAGGATAAGGCGCGCCTAAATTTGTTTTGTGGCAAGGTATGCTAAATAGTTTGCGAATTGGATATCGGGGATATCTGTACGGGATAACTAATTTGATGTGATCGAGAAGGTGCGTACTTTTGATTTTGTTATGCAGTAACTTGTGTAGAAACATTAAGTCTGCAATGATTATACTACCATGTGGTATTTATAGTGATATTTATCCGAAGCGAACACGACTCGTCTGTGCGGGCGTTGGACACTCACTAAACAGTTGCGGTACAGTGTACCGCAAAATCATGCAAGGCGTTGTCTTCTCTATACGTAGTAGTAATACCTCAATGCATCAGACATCAAAGACGTTTTACAACTGTAAGGTCTTTAAACTGTGGTTAGGTGTTGTTCTTACAAATGATAATGAACAATAGACTTGTACCAAGTAACAACAGCCTTAAATTATTCAACAGCTAAACATAATAATTTTAAAAAATACAAACTTTTATTTTAACAACAGATTTTTTAAATTAACTTACATTAATTCACTCCGTAACTTAGCTTTCTGCTTAGTTTTAAAGCTAACATCTGCATACTTCCAACAGACGTCATTAAGTACATGCCAAATGTTGTTATTATTAGAACCTCGCAACCAAGACCACAAGGACCAGTTCCGTTCATTAATCACATTTACAAAAATCTTGATAGCAACATGAGCATCGGCAGCTGCATATTTAGCTTGAGTGTCTGTTAATTCCTGGGCCTCCCAATCACTACAACGCACCTGAAAATAAAATAAAGTATATATCTAAAATATGACTCTACAATAGATCAAAGGACACAGAGGACTCAGGGGCAATGACTCAGCACACAATCTGGCCAGGAGAGAATAGTTTAGTTTACGACGGGCTGTTTTCCGCAACTCCACGTCTAAGCGCGTATTTTGCGTGTGGGCAGGAATAATATGGTCCAATTCTCCCCCGAAGAAGCTCAGCAGTCCTTTGATGTTGGAAGCAACTTCGGGGGAGCGATCCCGGCGTGCCGAGATGTTTAGCCCTGTATGAAGCGATTTCTGGACATGTCAGTAACACGTGAGCTGCCGTTTCTTCCTCTCCCATGCATGCCCTGCACAGGGGGCTATCAGTAACACTTATGGTAAATAAAAAGTTAAGTTGTTTGTTAAAAGAGCCATGTCCTGTGATAGCACTTGTTACTATCCTGATCTGTGGCTTGTTCAGTCTCATTAGAACCTTGGTTAGACGACTGTTTATTTCAGGTAGGGCCTCCCTAGCTTGTCTACAGTCTACTAAATTTTTCCAAAGCTATGTGTGTAAATTATTGAAGTATCTACATACCAGTGAACGAACGTAGCCAAAGGGGATTGGTATTATTGGTTCCGGCCCTATAGTTGCCAGGGCCGATCCCCTTCTGGCCAGTTCAACTGCTGCATCTTTGCCTCTAGATCCACTGTGTCCCTTGATCCATTGCAGTCACATTGTTGTGCTTACATACCTCATTCAATCGTTGATGGCACTCGTATATCAGTCCCGAGTTCGTCACATTGCAACTCAGAGCTTGTAGTACCGCCATACTGTCGGTTAGTATTCTGATGGAGAAGTCTTTCACCTTCCTAGCATCTATTGCTATGGCCGCTTGGATGATACCCATGCATTCAGCCTGGAAGATTGTGTTGTGGGTACCCAGCAGTGTGCATATGTGGATATTAAGGTCTTCAGAGAAAGCCCCAGACCCTACACCTTCATTTGTCTTAGAGCCATCCGTGAAAACTTTGAGCTCTCTTGGACCCAATCCTTCCATATGGTCAGTTTCCTTCAATTGTATCCTGTACTTCCTATCGAATACAAATTGTTTTGGGATCCTATCATACTTGGCTTGTAAGATAGGAATTTTTGAGTAAATTCTATCAATTATATCTGTATGGGGGACTCTACTCTTACTTAACAGATTTAAGGTCTTGAGTCTAATGGCAGCTAAAGTTGCTTCTTGTTGTATATGTAGATGAAGCGGTGTTAGCTCCAGCATAGCCTCCAAAGCTGCTGTTGGTGTAGTCCTTACGCAGCCTGTGGCAGCCATACTAGCTGATATCTGGTAATGCTGAAGCTTTTGTATAGTGGTGGCTTCATTGGTTTTGGTCCACCATACCAGAGAGCCATATGTGATCATGGGCCGAATTACAGTTTTGTACAGCCACAGTATAATTTTTGGCGTTAAACCCCATCATTTGCCAATCATGTTTCTGCATTGCCAGAAAGTTAAACTAGCTTTGCTGATTTTGTTATCTGTGTTTGTTCCAGTTAAGTTTACTGTCCAAGGTAAGACCTAGGTATTTTACCTCGGAGGAAAGCTGGAGTTTTGTGCTGAAAAGACTTGGAAGATGATAGTTATTCAGCATTCGTTTTTGTGTGACATTACTATAACCGTTTTATTTGGATTAATGGTTAGGTCATATTCCCTGCACCATCTCTCCACAATACGGAGAGCCGCTTGGGTCAGGTCGCACACAATGCTTGCTGTCTTACCAGAAACCAGTATTGTCAGATCATCTGCATAACCAACCGTGTAGAAATGGTTAGCGTTTAATTTGCTGATGAGTTCATTAATGACCATATTCCACAGGAGAGGTGAAAGAACCCCACCCTGCGGGCATCCTTTCATGATCTGAATTGTCTGAGATTCACCAGCAATCTTTATTGTTCGTGTATTGAGCATGTTTACTATCCAGTCAATGAGCGCCGGTTCAACATTATGTCTACTTAGGGCACCTTTTATGCTGGAGAAATTTGTTCTGTCAAAAGCACCTTCCATGTCTATGAAGGAGCCTAGACGTATTGCTTTGTTTTGGATGGCCTCTTCAATCTTTGTTATTACCTGGTGAAGTGCCGATTCTGTTGATTTACCTAAGCTATAGGCGTGTTGTTTTTCGTGTAGCGGTAAGTTAATCAGCGCCGACCCTCTCAACTCCTGTTCACACATCCTCTCCATCGTCTTTAGGAGAAAGGATGTGAGGCTAATGGGTCTGAAGGATTTAGGGTCTGTATAGTCGTTCTTACCTGGTTTGGGTATGAATGTGACTTTCACTTCCCTCCAGGAGAGGATACTGATTCCTTTTGTAACTATTCATTCACTATTATGTAAACACTTCACTAATCAACACACTCAGCTTTGAAAAAGGGACTGTAGGCAAGCTAGGGAGGCCCTGCCAGCAATAAACATTTGTTTAACCAAGGTCTTAATGAGGATAAACAAACCATAGATCAGGATAGCAACAAGTGCTCTTTGTAAACTCAACTAAACTAATAAATTATATCTGGCGTTTTAGGTGCTCACACTGGATTCATACAAGACCTTTGTTGCGTCTTGTGCACAAAGCTGCAGAAAGGAATATTAGAGGTCAGAGACATATAAAATTCAGGCCTATATTACCATCATAATTTTTCTATGTTGTGCCACAGGTACTATGTTTGTTAATTGGCTTTTGGTATGTTACTAATAACATGTATAATATGCAGATGAAAATAAATGTTCTTATAATATCTGTAAATGTAGTTGTTACATCATTTACTAGCATCTTAATGTTTATATCCCAGGCTATTACAATCCTCGTTTTTGAATATTTCAAAAGTAATGTCATGTACTCAGGTTTTACTGCAACTACTACTACTACTCTTTGGTCTAGTGGTTGTAGCGGTGTGACTGCTGATCATGAGGTTCTGTGTTTAAAGCCCAGGTCGGACCAAAAATCAATTATTGAGTTTTTCCGTCAAGAAATTCTCAGTAGCTGCCCGTAGTCAGGAAGTTGGCGGTGTCTCACCCCCGTGCCTCGGAAAGCACGTAAAGCCGTTGGTCCTGCACCTGATCTCTCTCAGGTTATGTCAGTTTACTCTCCCATCGGATTACGAGAGTAAGAGAATAGAGAGTGCACCTGTGCTTGCGCACTTGGGCACTATAATGCTGTCCTGCGCCGATGGCTAGCCTCCGTTGAGGCAGGCCGCCGTAGCCGAAACTCGGTCTGGAGGACAATATTATTATTATTATATCTATTGTAAATTTTATGATGTACAGAAACCCAAATTATACTACTAGCAATGTATACTGAGCAATTTAGATTTTTGTCATATGGTTTTCAGTGTCAGATCAATGACATGCATCTATTATTGAACAATAATTACAAAAAATATAATATTCGCCTTACCCTCCAACTCTTATCCAAAATAATACGGAGGTGTGATTTTGCTAGGAAAGCTAGCCCTCCCGGTGCATATCCAAACAACTCAACCATGTGTCGTAAATCAAGTGTAGATTTTAGTGCCACTCCATAATCATTTAATAGGTACTTGGCATCATCGAATGGCGCCACCCCCACTTTGAATATGTTTTCATCTTCCAATAGCTCCTAAAACAACTTGAATGATGATATAACACTCACGAAAGACAAGGGTCATTGTATTTCATCATCATCAACAGCCCATTGACAGTTAATTGTTGCATTAATGTATACCACAAAAAACCCCACCCGAGTTGCCAAACACCAAAAAAAAACATAAGAAAATTGATGAAGGTGTAGTTTTATGGGTTTTTAAGTAATTTTGTACCAACATATTTTTAAAAATCCAATAATATTCTAATAAAGCAAAGTCCGATTCCATCAATTCAATAATTTGTTACCAAGCTATGAAAATTTCAGTATATTGTTAGAATTAAGTTACATTTACCGCTGAAATTAGAAGAGCAACCGAATATTTGGTTACACTTCTGGACTTAGTTGAAAACTTTCAGTCAGATTCCAGTATCTGTTAGTTACTTGATCATCATCATCATCATCATTACAGCCCTTCACAAGTCCACTGCTGAACATAGGCCTCCCCTAAGGTATGCCACAAAGTACGGTCCTGAGCCACCTGCATCCATCGACTTCCTGCATGTCTTACCAGGTCGTCACTCCATCTATAGGGGGGTCGCCATACACCTCACCTACCGGTACGAGAGTGCCACTCGAGAACCTTTTTTCCCCAACGGTTGTTGGTTCTTCGATCTATATGGCCGGCCCGTTGCCACTTCAGCTTACTAATCCGTTGGGCTATGTCGGTCACTCTGGTTCTACTGCGGATATCCTCAGCGAGCTATGGAGAGATTTGTGCTTGGAATTTCTCTGCGTGATAAACTTAGTTACTTGATACTGAACCTTAATTATTGCTGAATAACAATTATATTGCAAGCTCTTTATATAAAACTAAATAATTGTGCTAAATGATTTCATTACAATAAATATTTCCGTTAAAAAAGTAAATAGTGATAATGATAAAAATAATAATGAACCCAGACAGGCAATGCCAACAGGAGTATTCTTTCAAAGGTATGATACAAGTTATACATTTTAATTACCTTTAGAGAAGTTGGAATTTGCTGTAAGTGACTCAATCTAAACAGACCACAATAACCATCAAATGAAGACAGCTGAACCAAAGCAACAGGCTGTCTTCTACCTTGTGTTGTTACCCATTCACAATCAAATCCCACCGCCTTGTGTAATTTAATCCGTCTGAAAACATTTTATCTACAACATAAGATATCTCATAATTTTAAATATAAATTTATTTATTTATTTATTTATTCTCTCTTACATCTATCTTTACAGTTTCCTAATGCGATAGAGTAACTTATCCTAAGATTTAACAAAAATTATTACCTAAAATCAACAATAAGAATATAATAGAAGTAAATATATAATAAAAGTAAAAGCATTTCCTACCTAAATAAAATACTAACAAAAATTATTACCTACTAACAACAGATTATAAAAATAAAAAAATAAACAAAAAATTACATAAAAAACCTAGATTTAACTATAACTTATTACATATAATGTGACCTTCGTGAATTCACTCAGAGTACAACAAAATATGTCAATTTTATCTTGGACTCTATAGTTTGTTAACCTCGTAGTGATGGTGTAAGTATATCCACTAACCAATATTTTCCCATGAATGACGTAAAAGGCGACATAGGCCGTCGAAAACCAGAACAGAAAATGGTCAGCAGCATCTTCCTGTAAACAACTCAAAACGATTTAAAAAAAACTGCGGTTGCCAATCCGCTTACCAAACGTGGCAACTTTGGCAAAATCTCCTCTATTAGGCAATCTATAGGTGAGGCCTACGTACAGCGGTGGACTTTTATCACAAAAATGAGGGTATTATTAGTTTATTACTAATTCAGAACGTTTGTAACCTGCGTAATTCATATATAACTTCATTGCATCTTTCTTCTGTCGTGACTATTTTAATATTTAAATACGATAAAGCCTCAGCTGCGTTTCTATGTCTTAATTTATATTTCAATACTAAAAATACAACACCGGCACATCCGATTGCGACAACTGTTGAGGTTATCAATTTTGAACCAGCTTTAAATTTTGAATAAGATTCCATTGAGCAAAATATTTGTCACTTATATAAAATGGTCAGGAAGTTAGTAAACTCAAAAAATCATCGAATAGATAAAAATTTAATTTATATTGTAATTCTCATTACAACAAAAACAGAACATTGGGTTCATAAAGTAGAGTATCACAGAGTAAAAAAAGTACTCTGTGATATATACAGAAATAGAGAGCCATCTCCAAGGATTTTTTGTCACCCAATATGAATAGTGTCGCTGTCTGGTATCATATCCCTTGAACTAATCTCAATATCATGTTGACTATAGATAGCTGTATGTAGTTATGTATATACAGCTATCTATACTATACGCGGTATTTATATTTTAAGGGATTAGGGTTCAATTAAAGACGTATCATAGATTTCAGTAATATTAACATTTATTTTTGTTATATATATTTAACATACACGATGTAAAAGCGCCTATTCCGCAAAATACAACACCAAACCAAATTAAATATGTCCACCGAGTTACCGGAATGATAAATGAAAGCGTCTATTTCGCACAACACTTCACAAACATACAATGCGGTTCAAGCATGAAAATCTAAACAGACAACAAGAAACAGAGGGCTAATCCCAACTCAACCAAACTTATTGTAGCAACAACCGAAAATCACTTATAAACTGTAATAAAACAACAACTTGCTAAGACGCTGGTAGCCATGTAGCCATTATGTCAAATAAAGTTGCTAGTTGCCAATTCGAGAATAACCAGAATTGGTGTAGTCGCCATCTAGCGCATCTTTTAGAAACTAATGTTCGAAAGTTTATGCGGACATGGTATAAGATGGCACTTGTGTCTTTGCAAATTATTGGACCCCAACCTAAAGTATGGAAGTGTACCCCCCCTGATTGGGTTATTGGATTCGATTCAATTTTTTTTTAACTGGCTTTACGCCTCTGGATTCTAGCCCTTCTGAGCCTATAATTTTTTTTGCCGCTTGCCGCGCCGCTCTCGAGCGGTTGTGCCAAGCAGTCAACACTCCCGTCCCCGCACGAAAGGGCCCCTCTCGCCTCGACCGCTCACAATGGCCGAGCAGTCGCCATCGGTGAGTCACTTCCTTCTTAGCACCGTTCTTGCCCCCTCGCTTCGGCGGGAAATCTTCATTTTTATAATCTTTTTCTTCACAATATGCTGATGCGTCACATTGCGAAGCCTTTGGAAGGTTTTGACGACAGCTCAACCCAGCGGACAGTTGATGACGACAGCCATTTAAGTTCATGAGGCGTCCAAGCGATCAAAATAACTTGAGCATTATATCGACATCAAAGCACCTGTTTCGTCGTTTTCTCTAGTAGTTCACACGCGCAGACACTTAGTTCACAAAATCACATCACTTTTACGAATCAAAATTCACTTCAAACTATTATTCAAGCAACAAAACAGGAGCGACAATCCGTCTACAGCCAAGTTTTCGCCAAAACTCTCGATTTAATTTTTTTTATTAACTGCACATACTACTAAGAGGATAATACGCAATAAACTGGCTTTACGGCTCTGGATTCTAGCTCTTCTGAGCCTATTCGATTGGCTGTTTGCATAGAACCACAGAACGAGGTATATATAATGTACTCTCTGCAACTCTATAGTATATGCCAAATCAATTGAGAAAAACGGACAATGAACTTTCGTTTAACCAGGGGTTACAAACCTTCAATATATAGGCACTTTTTATATAACGTGCCGCTACAATGCTGACATTATTTTAACGCACATACGTTTTCATATTTTCATTTCATGAAGATATTACACTTCCATTAAACGTCATTACTTACGGATTTATTTGAAGTTTTAGAAAATAGCATCTTAGAGCAACCTATACTTAGAGAACTGTCGCGCAGCGGTCATTTGCCGGGGTCACGGATCGTAACATCGCACTATTGAAATTAAAGCGAATAAGCAATACTATTGAAGGAAATAAACTTTGTCAGAGAGCGGGTGGCGCAGGCGACGTGTGTCCCACAACCCGCCGCAACGAAATCAAATTATTTTTTTGCATTTCTAGTGGTCGCTGAACACATCATCACAGTAGTGCCCATAATTACGTCGACTAATATTTTTGTGAATGTTTCCGCGAAAAAGATGCTTACCTATTGTTTTATTTATTAATTTTTGTCTAATTAGGTTATGGTACTGCGATAAAGACGCTTTGTTTTGTTTTCGCTTTTATTTGTGTTATTAGTGCTTGTGTAAACTTGTGATCGTAATGGCAAATACGCATCCGAACTACACAGTAGCTGAATATGCGGACATTTAAAGCGCAAAAAGTCGTACCCATTCAAGGTAAGAAAAGTACATACGCGTGATTAATTAATAAGAGTGAATTATTGTCATTGGTTACTGAGTAAAACTGAAGAGGACTGTGACTTTCTTTCCCAAATTTGTTGGACTAACGAAAGCACATTCACCAGAAATGGCATGTGGAACCAGCACAATCTGCACCATTGGGCACCCAAATACCAAAATCTGCGCGTTTGGCGGGAGTCAACCCACCAGTAGATACGAACCATCACCATTGAAGGTACCAGACGCATTGCGCGGTTGCCAGCTTGCGAAACGACGATTTACAGTTCCGACTTAACTAGGTAATTTTATTAATGAATTTTCGCAAGGGTGATCCCAATTTTAGTTACATTTTTATTATTTAGTTTGTTTGAAATTTTTTTTTCAATTTACGAGTTATTTTAACTTATCAAATTTAATATGATTAATGGGCATTAGCCCTACCTGTGTGTAAAATTAAAGTCACCACTGTAGCTGCACGTAGTACTTTCTTTATTTATAATGATTTTTAATTATTTTTTATAATGATTGATATAATATATATTTAATAACTATTATTAAAAAGTTATGTAAAAGATCGCTGTAGAAGAAAAATCATCTATTGTTATAAAGTACTTTATTCATTTAACAACAAAAAGCATTAATTTATAACACATATATAGAGATTCGAGTGATAACGACACCGAATAAGTACGTACTTATTCAAAAGATAAAACTTTATTTTCAATATTATATAAGAACTTTATTTTTATTCGGTGCATGCGGACCGGCCCAAAAAAAAGAGACGCATCTCTGGCTGCCATTGTCACGTTTCTTTTAGAACGAACTGACGTAACGCGCATTTTGTTTATTTTAAAGGGATGAATTTGCAAAAGCTCAATATGGTGATTATATTGCTTCATATATATTTTTAATATGAAAAAGTTATTAAATGAATTGCTGCGTTACTTACCATAAATTGAAATATAAAATAAAACACATTTTTCGCGATGTACCGCAAGATTTTACGATGTTTATAGGAACAACAGATAACATTATTTAAGAAACAAAAATAACAAAACATATGTGCCGACCTGAAGTGTGAATAATATCAATATTTAAATATTGCTATCACATCTAAATTGAGATTTTGTAAGTTACGCCTTTTGACACTCGGCTCATATCTGAGGTCATTGACCGTTTTTCTCAATCGATTTGACACATACTATAAAACTATGGAGTGAGTGTAGAGATAAGGAGGTCAAACTCTGTATATAAAAGTGTCCGTAGAGAAGCGCTAAATAAGGGTGGCGCCTCTGTAGCTACCGTGTAAATTTTAAAGAGCTTTTTATAATTTTTATTGCACATACTTTCACCATAATTTTTTATAATAATTATTTTATTGTTTTCAAAACTTTTATTTTCAAAATCACTCTCAACGTATTTTACGACGATTTTTCATACCCTGTAGTTACTAGAGTTCTGTTGTGGAGAGTTTTTGAACTGTTATTTACTGCTTACAGATGAACATATTTTCAACTATTCTTCTATGGGAGATCCTTACCTCTATACTCCATGCACAGAACCAAGGCTGCAATTCTCTTGTAGGTATATACTACGTTAGTACTCTTATTGGTTTGTGGTATATACACAGTAATCTATGACTACAATTTTCCTCGTAGACAGAGAAACGATTCGATATTCACTGACTTAGAAGTATATGGACTGGGCATACCTATAAGTTTCCAATAAAAGGGGTCTCGGGCTCTCTACATTCACCATACGAAAGACAGCAGCATTAAGTTGCTATTTAACGCTGTTATACTGTGAGAACGTGGTACGTTTTCGAGGAGCCGACCCATCCTTGCTACTATAATATAGCTGCAGCATGCCTCTACTACGTATAAAACCTTAATAATAATTAAAGTTACTTAATTTAAACCGTTATAATATATTATACTAGTGGCGTTAATATCATAACATTGTATTATTTCCAATACATCTGTAATCAACAATGTGTCGATTCAATTAAAGTTATCGATATTTCTCTGCTTCAGGGAGGGAGTTTTTCCGTCACCTCTTAAACAATCAATTGTGACGCCGGTCTTTAAGGGTGGCAAGAAAGATGATATAAATAACTATCGGCCGATTTCTGTTTTAGCGTCTATATCTAAAATTATCGAAAAGTTAATTAACACTCGACTTTTAAAATTTCTAAACAAATTCAATATACTATCTGATTCACAATTTGGGTTTAGACAAGGAAAGTCTACAGATGATGCTGTCTTAGCACTAACAACTCGAATCTCAGACTGCCTTGATAGTGGGAAAAAATGTATAAAGGTCTTTCTCGATTTAAAAAAAGCATTTGATACAGTCTCCTTGCCCATCCTTATACAAAAATTAGAACATTGTGGCGTGAGAGGCACACCACTTAATTTGTTAAGAGACTACCTGTTTGGTCGAACCCAAAGAGTTAAAATTGATGACTATATAAGTGAGGAGCTATCGATCTCCTTTGGCGTTCCGCAAGGCAGCGTTTTAGGCCCGACTTTATTCCTTATTTACATAAATGAGCTTTGTAATATAAATATAGATGGTGGTCACGTGTTCTCATATGCTGATGTCACTGCACTGTTTTTTATGGCGACTTCTTGGGATACAGTATTTAAACTTGCACAATCCGGGCTATCCAAGGTATTCAACTGGCTACAATCCGACTTAC